CAAGCCGTGAATTCCATATTTCGGCCATGAAAAGCCATTTAAAAGCCACAAACTTATTTCCAAAGTCCTGTGCCCATGATGCCCAAAATCTCTAATTTTATTCTAAAAACAGTCATCAAACAGCAACACTAACATTTGTCTTCACTTAAGTGGCAGCTCCACAACTGAACACATGATATTGCAATCTGACCGTTCTGATGCTACCGCAACTATGCGATCTTCAAGGAAAGATTTTGGATGTTGAAATGACATGTTTACACATTGTGAAGTGCAAACCATGATTTTTGCAATCAAAGAGAAATACATGACATTAGAGCTGCAAGATTTTATACCTACTGAAATTATGATATTAGAGCCGTGATATTTCAGGAAAAATAGGACTTTTCCAGTCCTAGTATGGCATCTCTGAAATAATTCTATATGCTTTTCGCGAGGTGCCAGATGCAAAAGAAAAGCGTCCCAAATTACTCATGGGAACTGGGCAATTCAGGACACTTGGAAAACTTGATTTTAAAACATTTGAAGCATGCAGAGTGTAATCCAATACTAACAGTACTCTGAAGTCAGAAGTCCTCCTTTTCCTTTGTAGATGATGTAGATGTAGTATAACATGTATGTTATTCTACTTGTCTGTTATTCTACATGTTTATGTTATTCTTCTTTATGTCTGTTTTTCCTTTATTGATTTGATATTATCATATCATATCCACACATTACCGTATTATTGATCAATGTGATATTACCATATCCATGGACATGCCATTGAGCATTGACAAGAACCTTGTCCACTGCAAACATCATATCTGCAGGCTGCAGCCATACATCATTTCTTCTGCATTTGAAACCTTACAGTACAGGACTGGGCTTGTAATTTTGCACTGTTTTGATTGGGCCAAGTGAATTCACTATTCACACAAAAAATAAATATTGTAAATAACATACCTGAAACAGAAAGGAATATGTTAGTGACAACCATCATATTTTTTGGAGAAATAAATCAAAGTTTAGGTTGATTACTTTTCATTCTGTTGCCCTGTGCACAATGCTACCGTAAACTGGGGTAACTTTGACCACTTTTTTTCAATATGATGCCATTTTTTTACTAGATAAGTTAAACTTAAATTGAACCATGCAAAATACAGGTCTATACTCTAGCTTCACTCACCATAAATTGCTGGCTTCTGCCTCTCATAGTTTTGAAGTAATTAAAAAAAAATTGCTGGTCTTTTTTACCCCAGCTCTGGGGGTATCTTTGACCGGGTGGTAAAATCATTTTTATTTTTTGGTAAAATAACTCCAAATAACTCCATGCATTGTAGTAGAACTCTTCTAGTTACATATGCAAAAGAAAAATTTTAAGAAAGTGTCGATAGTTTGCAAATGGGGGGCGCCACCCCCAAATGGGCAAAATGTGACCATCTAATGGCAGCTGTGACGGGGTAACATTAACCGGTTTGGAAATTAAGTTAAAATTACCATATACAAGACTCTGTAGAGTCTGAAACATGAAGAAAATAACATTAATAGGTGTATCAAACATAAAATATGTTATATAGGTACCGGTACCTATGGTAATTTTAACTTTATTTTCAAGCCGGTCAATGTTACCCCATCACGGCTGCCATTAGGTGGTCAAAGTTACCCCATCACGGCTGCCATTAGGTGGTCAAAGTTACCCCATTGGGGGGCGGCACCCCCCATTTGCAAAGTATGACACTTTCCTCAAATTTGTCTTTTGCATATGTAACTAGAAGAGTTCTACTACAATGCATCAAAACCTGGAGTTATTTTACCAAAAAATTAAAAAATTGGAGGGGGTACTCCAACAGGCTTTAAATAATAACTCTTTTTCATGGGTCACATTTTTAATTTTTTAACCTATTAGATATGCAAACTTTTTAAATCTTTCTATTGTGTTACGTAGCCTCAGTATTAGGCCTTTAATGCCCATTGACAAAATTTTTCTATGTCAAATAGTTTTTGAGTTTTGGGGGTTTTTGTTAAAAAACCAAAAGTGGTCAAAGTTACCCCGGGAGTCAAAGTTACCCCAGTTTACGGTACCTATGATGTTCTATGCACAATTTTATGATGACTGATGATGCATTAATTTTTCATCAAGTAAATTTTTTTGGCTGAGTATATAGAATTAATTAATTTTGATTACAGCACAATGTAATCAAAATTTTTTTTGTTAATTGATTTTTTTGTTGACTGGAGCCTATGCTAACCAAGGTTCTACTGTAAATGCTTTTTTGGAAGTGTCCTGTATTTCCCCGGGGCGGTGTCCCATAATACCCTATAGTGCAAAAATGGCCGCCAATTTGTTTTGGATTGAGGTATGAAAATTTAATTAATAAAATTTTAAAGCTTGTCTGCACCTTTTTTCAAGTGAAATGTTTTAATACAGCAAATACTTTTTTACTGCAGACCTTAACAGAAGTAAATTTTTGAAATATCACTTTTCAACATTTTATCAGGGATTTTTTAGAGCTAGTAAATGTACGATTTCTCAAATTCCTTTATGCTACATAGATAGGAAAAATGTTAAAGTTTATGCCACTATTTTTGTTTTGCAATATTTCAATTAGTTTTGCTGCTACAACATTTTTATATTTTATTTATTTCATTTTTTATCATTTATTTATAATTTATTTATCAAACTAGAATTTGTTCTGTTCAATTCTCTTTTTTGGTTAATTCATATCATTCATATTTATCAGTTGCACCCATTTCCCCCACCCACCTGCAGTCAAAGTCTCAAACTAATTTTAGTTAGAATAAAATAGCCTACAACTGCTTTCTAATGGTGCTAAAATCATTAGAATTGGCTTATAGGAAACCTAGATATGATAATTTTTCCAGAAAAAGTGCCAAAAATTTGTCCATTTTTAAGACATAATTTAAAGAAGGAAAAAATTTGTAGCTTCTTCACTTTTATTTATATTTCACTTACATTTAAATGCTATTTTTATACATTTTTTCTCTTTTCAGCCATATAATTTTCATTAAGATCAGAGGGGAAAGTTTTTCGTGCATGTACCTGATGTAAGTAATTGCATTTTGTAATCAACATTTTGTGTGAAACTTGTCAAATCAATGATGGTCCATAGAATGTACCGTCAACCGGGGCTACTCGGGACGGTTTTGAGCGTTTTTTGTTAATAACTTCTTACGATGAAACATTTCATAAACAAGTTTAGGCTCATTTTATAGCTCTTTGCGAGGGCTATCGAATGGCATCTTCAAAAAAATTCCATATGCTATTCGTAAGGTGCCAGAAGCAAAAAAAGAGTGTCCCGAGTTACATAGATAGGAAAAATGTTGACATTTACGCCACTATATTTAGTTTTGCAATATTCCAATTAGTTTCGCTACTATAACAGTTTTACGCCGTGTCGGAGGTGCGTCCCGAGTTGCCCCGCCAGTCCCGAGTTGCCCCGGTTGACGGTATATCTACCCTCTGAGCTACAACTAGAGTTCATCTCTCATTCCCATCCCCCTAGTTTGGAGGCTTGGAACTGTGATATTCCCACTAGCCTAGGTGAATTATATGCCTCCTATTAGTCCTTCATGCATTCAAAAATGCACAATCAAGCCAAAAGATTTCAAATTCATTGAAAATATGTCACTTAGGAGCAAAGTGCCGGAACAGAGACTTTTTAGACTCTTCCTCGAGTTCATTTTTGAGTCTTATAAGTAGACCACTAAAGTATCATGGATACCAGCATTGTCATACTTTATTAGTTTAAATCCTGAGTAGATGAGTAGATTAATAAATGATTCTTGAAAATCTGTGGTTTGGAGCTGCAAAATTTTAGTAATAAGTACTACTGTCAATGCCAATAACTTTGCCACTGAGTTTCTAGCAGTACTAAATTTGCCAGTGTGCAGTAGAAACAATCTATTTTTTAAAGAAACTAACTTGAACCACAATACATTTTATTAGTGCTATAAAAACAGTTTTTAGGTAATATTTGGCAAATAAACCCTAAAAATTATAGTTCTGACCAGTATTATTTGGTTTTTGTGACAAGGAGTGAGCCTGGCAAGATATGTGCATTTTGTGCTGTGTGGCCACAAAAGAAACGATTCAAAATCTCCTATCCATTCAAAGTCTCTAATGTAATATGAGCTAAAAGCTGAATTCAAACTTCCTATTTGTAAATTTGGTTTTTAATTTTTGATCTGTGACTTTCAATTGTACGGTTGATTTCATAAGCAACTTGTGATTTTATAAGCATCTTAGAATCTTCAAACTGACGATGGAGCTAGACTCTGAAACATTTTCTGTATAGATATGATGAACTTTTGTAGAATTTTCTTTGCTTTTAAATTTCTAGGTTATTTGCAAGTTGAGAAATCAAGTCACACATAGAAGTTGTTAAACAAGTGACTATATAGAAGTTTAAGAAATTTTACTTCTTATGAGAACAAGCATCAAGTAGGTATCACTTATGGATACCACTCCATCAAGCTATTCAATAAAATTTTCAAGCATCTCAAAGGGTGATGAAAGAATGACAACATGTTATATGAAGAGAATGACAGTCTTTCTTGTGTTGGATTAGGGCAGCTTAAATTGTAGTAGCAACCCATGTCTCAGTGATGTTGGAAAATTTTGCCTTAAATAAATATCTTAGCAACCAATTTTATAAATTTTAGATGTCAGCTGCTATTAAAATATTGTCGAACAATTGTCTCACAGTGTCTCTCTCTCTTCACAATTTCTCTTTTTTGTGGCATTTTTTTAAGACTATAAGCTCATCAAATGCATCCTCAATTTAAAAAAAATTTCAAATCAAACAAATTTATATATAATTGTGTTTTAAACCATGATTCAGCTGAAAAATCAAATTATTAGGAGCATCATACAGTTGACCGTCTGAGACCAAATTTCTGCAAATTTATGGGATTTACTTGCCACTTTGTGTCTTATTGTGTGCAAGTAAAATCTCATCTATACTTTCAATATAACATGGCTAATGTGTTGATATTTGTAGGTTTTGCAGCATGTGTGAGGCAGCAGCAATATTGTTACAGCACAGCTCAGGAAGAAGCCTCAGAACCCTCTTCTTCAAACTCGCCCTCATCATTGTCTGGAGAGCTGCATCAGTTCCAGGCTGAGACACGAATGCTGCTTGACATTGTGGCTAAATCCCTGTATTCGGATAAAGAAGTTTTTGTCCGAGAACTTGTCTCTAATGCCTCTGATGCCATAGAAAAGGCAAGTTCTTGTGGCCCTTCTATAAATTATTACATTCGGTTTCTCAATCTCTAAAATGGCTTGGAGAGCTAAATTTTCTAAGAGTTAAAAAACATAAAATTTTTATCCTGACATCTCAACAAAATGCTTACTATATTTTCCATTATTTCATGGATTCCAGCAAAAGATCTGTCTATTATATATATGTATAGGTATACTAGAGTAAGTATGTATGCGTTTGTTGTTGTGACATGGTAATTCATGTTGTGTTGTAACTTGGAGCTTGAATTTTCATTCACATTGACAATATCATAAGACATTGCTGCAGACAGAATTGGGATTGGATTGAAAAGTTAAAAATATGTCGAGTTAATCCTCAAGTCTTCTTTCAAGTCTCCTACTGTAATTCAGGTAAGAAAGTAATACTTCATGCTATGCAGGCAAGGTACGAGTCGGTGCAAGGGAAAGGAGCGGTCCTAGGAGAGAAAGACCTGCGCATCAGCATCAGCACTGATAAATATAACAAAACCCTGACGATCCAAGACTCTGGTATTGGCATGACCAAGGAGGAACTTATATCTAATCTGGGCACCATTGCCCGCTCTGGATCCAAGGTTTGACAATTGTGATGCAGTTGCCTTCAGGCCATCCTTATTCCACTAATTAGAACTAATCAATACAAACTTACGCACTTAAATTAAAAACAATAAATTATTTTCCTGATAATATCATGCCATAAGATTATTCAAAGCTTGAACTAATTCTATTGTAGTGTTTCTAAACAAATCTATGAAGCATTTTTAATAGTGAAATAAGTGAAATCTGGTAATTTTATGTTTGTAACTAAATTTCTTGTTAACTAGCTCAATAGGTAGCACAATATTTAATCTAAAGTAATTCTAATTTTCCAGGCATTCGTGGAGCAGATGAAAGGCGGGGCATCGTCAGAAGATCCGAGCAGCATCATTGGTCAGTTTGGTGTTGGGTTCTACTCTGCGTTCATGGTGGCAGAGCGAGTAGACGTGCTCACCAGGACCCGAGGCCACGATGCTGTGGGATACAAGTGGTCCAGCGATGGGTATGGTTTCTTTGAGGGACTCGTAGTTCAAAGTGATTCTACTTGGCAAATATCTTTAATCCAATTTTCAAAAAGTCTGATAACATGAAATCATTAGAAATTGAATAATTTATATTAAATTATAATTGTATGAGCATCCTGGAAATGATACAATGTATAATTTTTGCTTTTCAACAGCCTGAAATGTTGATGTTGTTGATCAGGTTATAGTCAAGTCAAATTTGAAACCACTTTCTCGTTTCTACTTCATCGGCGACATGAAAACAGCAATTATTTACCTTGGATTGCTTTTGGTGCAAGTTTGACCTCTTAATTCACCGATTAAAAGTTTATTCAAAGTTACGTGTGTCCATGTCTCCCCCGTGCTGCAGGTGCGGGTCGTACACTGTGGAGGAATGTCCCGAGGCCGAGCCTGGCACGCAGGTCATCTGCCACCTCAAAGTGCAGGACCGCGAGTTTAGTGACGAGGACACAATCAAGAGTGAGTTGATGGTGTTGTGGCTGTGAGATGTTATACAATCAAGAGTGAGTTGATGGTGTTGTGGCTGTGAGATGTTACACAATCAAGAGTGAGTTGATGGTGTTGTGGCTGTGAGATGTTACACAATCAAGAGTGAGTTGATGGTGTTGTGGCTGTGAGATGTTACACAGTCAAGAGTAAATTTATGCACTCAAGAGCCTGACATTTGATATGCAAAATTTTAAGGGGTCATAACAATTTTTATTACATATTTCTTTAGAAAATAAGATAATCTATCAACGATTTAAAACAGTTGCTGCACGCCACAGGCCATGTCCCTGCAGCACACCGATGAACGGAAAACTTAGCCGATATGCTAATTAGCAGCTCATTGATTAATTAAAATACAATGCTAGATATTATTAGCTTGAAGTATAAGAGGTGCCTTGCAGATATCTGGTGGCATGAATTTCCTACATTACCTTCTAGTGGTACTCTATCAAAATAATTTCGCGAAACCCTGCCCTAGATGGTCAAGACAGACAAGTTTAATATTTTCATTTGAGTTGTTTTGTAGTTCAGCTTTATTGCTGTTCGAGTTCTAAGCTGTCATTTAGTCAGTATGTGACCTCACTCTATAAGCAATGTAACTTGCAAGGTAACACATTAAAAATTTTAAAATATTTGTGAATTTCTTCGTATGATTTCTTTTAAAAAAATTCTGATCACAAATATCCAGTGATGCATGGACTCAAATGCGGGAGTTCTTAGCTAGGCCCTGCAGATCGCATCAGGTCCGTAGCCGCAGTTCGCAAGCGTGTTGCGCTATTGGTAATCTCTAGTATATATATATGCTTTATTTAACGAAATTGGCGATAGTAAATATCGAACAGAACTATGATGTGGCTCGTCATTGTTTTTACGATCCATCTTTCCGGAAACTAAGTTGGTTCACTGGTCAGTCGTAAATAATGATTGATGATCCCTGATCTAAAATAGGCACATGCTTTTCCTCAAGAATATCTCGTCTTTATCACTTCACTTTCATAACCATTGTTAAATCATTTTCAGGAGTCTTGAAAAAGTACAGCAGCTTTGTTGGAGCTCCGATTGAAGTTAACGGTGAACAGGTCAACACAATTAAGCCTTTGTGGCTTCTCGATCCCAAGGTAAATAAGATATTCATGTGTAATTTTAGATTTACCGATTATGCCCCTGTTATTTTTAGTGCATTTACTCATTTATGGAAAAAAAGGCGCAATTGTGCTCGTCATGTCCGTCTGTCTGTCTGTGGCTTCACGTCCGAGTATCCATGATACTCGGCAACGAGAAAATGCGCGCTGTCACTCACTGCAGCGGGTACTGATATATTTTTAGTGCATTTTCTCATTTATGGAAAAAATGCGCTATTGCGCTCACCATGTCCGTCTGTCTGTCCGTCCGTCCATCCGTGACCTCAAGTTTTCGTCGACGAGAAAATGCGCTCTCTGTCACTCACTGCAGCGAGTACTGAGTTATATTTTTTTCAGCAATACCTGCTCCCAAGTCATATATCTGCTCACAAGCTATTACAAACAATTTCTGCTTATTGAGAGGCTGAATAGGTTCTTAATATTTAAATATTGGTCTAGCTTTGCATTGAAATTTGCTGATTGATTTTTTAACATAGACTGTTAGATGTTATTAGTACTAAGAAGCCATTGTATTCGAAATATTTGATCTGTATTTTATCCACTCATAGTACCTCCAAAATATTTATCCAAAATAAATTTCTGAAGTACTAATTCTTGCTATTGTTAGAATTTAATGCTTTATTCTATATATGTATATATAAAATGTAAATAATTACCATATTATCCTGATGACTTTACTACACAGGAAGTGAAGGAGGAAGACCACAACGAGTTCTACCGGTTTGTCGGCCAGTCCTACGATAACCCTCGGTTCATCCTGCACTACAGGACCGACGCTCCCATCAACCTGCGATGTGTCCTGTACTTCCCTGAGGGCAAACCTGGTCAGAATTTCTTCAAAGTTTCATTCATTTGATTTAATTTAAACATATTGGAGACCAAATTAGGTTCTTAATTGTCAAGTTATTTATTTAAGCCGTTTTTGATTAATTATCAATCAAATCAGATTGAAAGTTTGATTTAATTATTTTAGCTTGTTACAAATTTTTTAAATTGTATCATTTCTGCGCCCTATTCAGGTTCTTGTTATATAGGATGTTACCAACTTACTCCTTACAAGACCTGGAATTTTCAACCGTGTTGGCTGTTTCCCAATAGAAATACTTTAGTCTATTTTTATTTATTGGCGGTACATATCGTCAATATCGTCAACATAAGTGTTGTGTTTCCCTATGGAGACAAGTTATTTTAATATTTTATTTTGATCTCTTTTGTTGTTCAGTTGTATTGCTGTTCGAGTTCAAAGTTGTCATGTGTCAGTATGTGACCTCACTCTATAAGCAATGTAACTTTCAAGTAACACAGTGAAAATGTTGAATTTTTTTGTGCGGATCGAATAGCAGGTCGCTATTCTATGTCTTATTCTATTGATTGATTATTGTGAACAAATATGTTTAGGTTTGTTCGAGTTGACGCGCGACAGCGTGGAGGGCGGCGTGGCGCTCTACTGCAGACGCGTCCTCATCAAAAACAAAGCCGAGAGCGTCATGCCCAAGTGGCTTAGGTTTGTTAAAGGTGAGATGCTGCTGTATGCTGCTACACTTCTGCCGTATCTTCAGCTACTGTAAACTGTTACACTTCTGCCGTATCTTCAGCCGCTGAAAGCTGCTACACTTCTGCCGTATCTTCTTTCCCCTGCTCCCGTATTGATACTTGCTCCACTTTTCTATCCATCCTTATCCTCTCTCTGGCCCTAACGTATTTCTTCTATCAATTGTCCTCAATTAATCTTCTTTTGTGTTGGTCTTTAATCTTCATGAAATTTTCAAAAGCTATTCTACTGTGTACAATGAAAGTGTTCAAGTACGTAAGCTTATTCGTCAGAAAACAATGCATCGCAATTCATTTGAATACGAACACGATTGCCGGCTAGAAGTACCTGCACTAAATTCATTGGACTTTCTCTGGCAGGAGATTAAAATGTTCTGACGCTTTATAATTCTAAGTCTTCCTTCTCGGCTAAGCTGACCAAATGTGTGAGACTGATGTTGACACTTATTATTTAGAAAGGTATGGATTACAGTGATGATTTAAAATATCAATTAAGTTTTTAAAACACTTATTATTCATAAAACATATAAGTACGTATAAATACATGAAGTTTCTCGCTAATATTTAGTATAAAATGAAACTTGGTGACTCAGTGCTTGCACCTGTCAGGTGTGGTGGACAGCGAAGACATTCCTCTGAACCTGAGCCGGGAGATGCTGCAGGACTCCGCCGTGATCAGGAAGGTGCGCACTGTGCTCCAGAATCGCTGCGTGCGCTTCCTGCAAGACAAGCTCAGGAAAGATCCCAAGTCTTACATCGACTTCTTCAACGACTATGGCATATTTCTTAAGGAAGGTGCGCCCTGCCATTATTTTCAACACAGTCGTTATGTCCGTCAAACACCAATATTTTATTATCATCGGATAAATTTATCATGTATCATGCATATTGACATGCATCATATTAGAGGTGCATATCAATATGTTGATATTGATAAGCTAATATTGGATGTCATATTAGGTCGCTTCAGAAGAACTTTAGAACTCCCATAGTGAATTTTGAAATGACTATTCGTAGGATATTTCAGTTATTTATTCCCAGTTTTTATAATAAATTATATGGTTTCTTATTGAATGTGTATACAGTCAGTGAAATGAGTGATACCTTGTCCAAATAGTGATGCACCTTTTAACCTTATGTTCGTCACCATGACCGTGTTTTGCGTGACAAAAGTTTGTATCAGTGCTACTTTCTCTCTTTGCTTGTGCTGTGGGTAAGAAAGTGTCGTTATTTTTTACAACATAACCCATTCTTTTTCTTTAGTGTACTGCGCATCTAGGTGTTTGCTCCCGGGTTTGTATGAAACTTTTGTTGTGGCTTCCAAGAAACATTTCTTGAGCATTCTGATAGTGTGTGTGATTAAAATCGATCTTTTCGAACTTCAACATTGACTTAAAGTCAGTGGTGGGCACAGTTCCGCTAATCCGCTAACCGCTAATTAGCGAAGCTAACTTTTTCCTTATCGGATTAGCTGTTCAGCTAACTTTGAAAACCTTTAGCGGACCAATTAGCTTCCGCTAAATTTAGTTCCGCTAACTGGAAGTCCGCTAAAAATGTTTAAAAATCTCTGATTTAATGTTAAGTATCGTAAGCCATGTGCCACGCCCACACCTATACTGCAGTCCTCTGCATGGTAGACGCAATGCTGGCAGGCACCACGAAAAGGTTTGGGTCCCTCCTAGAAGACAAGGAGTGCCAGCTGGCAGCAGCCTTCCACCCTAAACTGTTTCGCCTGTTCTGGCTGGAAAAGCATAATCACAGCCATCTCAGCAGGGTACAGAAGGCCATGGAGACCGCCGTGGAGACAGCCCTGAGGGAGACCGTTGAGGAGGGCAGCAGCACCACCAGCAATGACGAGGATGGGGAAGATGACTTCTTCAGCAGCATTACTCAGCCCATGGAGTGCAGGAGGAGCCACGGGTCACTTAAGTCCAAGGCACAGAATTTGGTGAAGACCAGGCTGGAAAGCAGCTCGAAGGAGGAATTGACTGACGTTGCCTTCTTGGGCGAGCAGGTGTTGATGAACCTTTTCGTTAAGTACAACACAGTCATCCCATCCAGTGCTGCAGCTGAGCGCCTCTTTTCCATAGGCATGGACATCTTGAGTGCCAAGAGAGCCACCCTGTCAGATGCCAACTTTGAGAAGCTGATGTTCATGAAGGGCAACAATCATCACCTCGAGGAGATGAAGGCGAAGAGCAAGCCAGAGTAAAAGGAGTGTGTAACCCTGGTGTAACCTTAATATTTATGGTGTAACCTTAATATATTAAAAGTTAGCGGTTAGCGGCAAATTCCGCTACATTTTTTGGTGATTTATCGGTTTAGCGTTATCGAAGCTAACTTTTAGGTTAGCTGTGCCCACCACTGCTTAAAGTATATAAGTTATTTTTGCTGCAGAGGAAAGTTAGACATGAGGTTTATGTGTACAGGAGTCATCTGCTCGTAGTGTAATGATTTTATAATACCAATGTGTACAGGAATCATTAGCTCGTCGAGTAATGAATTTATAATTCATTTATATTATTGTTATATTATAATACCAATGTGTACAGGAATCATCAGCTCGTCGGAGCAGATGGAGAAGGAAGAGATCGCACGTCTGCTGGTGTACGAGAGCAGCAGCAGGCCCAGCGGTGAACGCATCAGCCTCACTGAATACATCGCTAAGATGCCTGAGACTCAACAAGACGTTTATTATCTGGCTGCACCGAGCCGAGAACTGGCTGAGCAGAGTCCTTACTTCGAGGCACTTAAAGTGAGTGCAGTTAAGACACTTCAAAACTTATGCTTCAGCAATTAATTCAGCAATTAAGAGATGAGGATGACGATTTCACTATGAGCTCAAAACTTTTGAGTGCTAATTATTTAGAAATGTGTTGAATGTAAATCTTTTCAAGTTTTGATCGGTAATAGTATTACAATGCTCCTATGAGTTTTTATGGCGGACTTTCGATTTCAATGTAGAGTTTTTGTTGCAAAATGCTGAAAAAAATATGATGATATTGTTGAGTGTCATTGACGAGTTGTAAAGATTTGAATTTGTTCCTAAACGAGGTTCCTGGTTTGTAAGTGTTTTTAAAACATTTGGTGTATCTTATTATTCAAAATATGCTTGAGGTGAGAGGGTTGTTACTGTGAGTTATTTGTTGATGATGTTTTGAGGAGAATGATTGTATTTCAGAGCTATGCATATTGTTGTATTAGAATAAAGTTGTTGTTGTTGTTGTATTAGAATATACGTGTAGGTGAATCTAAATACGGACTACGGTGAGTGTGAGTCTGGTTACTGCTGGTTAGCATTTTGGAAAATTGCTCATGCTTACACAGTTACACTTTATTTAGTTTACTTCACGCGCTGCACGTGTGACCGTATTTGATGTTTCTCCAGAAACGCGGCGTTGACGTGTTGTTCTGCTATGAAAGCTACGACGAGGTCGTCCTCATGCAACTTCGTCAGGTCAACGGCAAGAATATCGTCAGTGCAGAGAAAGATATGCGACGAGACAAGGACGAAGCCAAATATGACGATGGTGAGTCTCATTTGCATCAAGGCTGGTATTAAATTAATCCGAAATGGGATAATGAAACATAAAATTGATAGATTGTCCCAATTATCATAAAATAGTATTGGTAGAATACTTTGAGAGAAATTAATACATAGTTTTTTAAATGAAAATGAATGATTTCCTGGTGTTATTTTTCAAATCAATTAGGTAAGTTCGTGTGCAGTATGTACATTTATTCACAGAAGATCATCACATGTTGATGCTGACCTTTAAGTAATCAAATATGAATCGATAACGTTCATGCGTTTGCCCAGAGAAAGGCTTAGGTAAGCTGGAGACAAGCGGCCTTATGGATTACCTGAAGGAGACGCTGGCGGGGAAATGCTACGGGGTGAAGACGACCTCCCGCCTCGTGGCTCATCCATGCGTCGTCACGGTCGAGGAGATGGCCTCAGCACGCCACTTCGTCCGCACCCAGTTCTCTCAGGTCTTTAACCTTCTATGCATGACACATTACCCGTCATTAATGCTATTCCAAGTTACTATCAGTGAACTATGGTCAAGTGACGTAGAAAAGATCGACTGTTCCGAGTTACTATCAGTGAACTATGTTCAAGTGACGTAGGAAAGATCGACTGTTCCGAGTTACTATCAGTAAACTGTGTTCAAGTGACGTAGGAAAGATCGACTGTTCCGAGTTACTATCAGTAAACTGTGTTCAATTGACGTATAGAATAGATCGACTGTTTCATATTACGAGTGTACTAAAAGATTTGTTTTTTAAAAAATATTTCCGTTTCACTCAGATCCCTGAACACACTCGCTTCAGCCTGCTGCAGCCCACTCTGGAAATTAACCCCAGGTTTGTTACAACTTTGTTTAATGTGGGCCCCGAGTTTTGTTGATCACCTATTTTATACGAATGCGAACGTTGCTGCCAATAATCAAAATATTTCTTATACGAAATTATACTGTTTTTACTTTTTTGTGAACAAAATCTGCTATGTTTTAGTACTTTTCTGTGAATGTAAGTCATATTTCCCTGTTCCAGCCATCCAGTGATTGTAAAGTTGAACAAACTACGCACCAGCAACCCAGACCTGGCTGCCCTAGTCGCCAAGCAGGTAAGTTTGAAACAAATTTTAGTTGAATCTCGAGGTCTAATAAACTAACTTGCAAGATAGTTATTGTGTTAATTTTAAAATTTGATATTCCTCTATCTACTGGATATTTTATTTTCTGTTGTTTGAATACAGTTTTTACATTTCCCGAATTCATAGCGTATTCATTTCATGAATTTGTTTCCGCGTATCACTTCCGCGTCAACCTTAGTGATTCTCTCTTAATTTGCGTCTTGAGTCTGAAGACGCAAACTGAGGTCAGATGGACCTTATTCTTGTTTGCATAGTCGCTTAACAACGGCACCTCTTGATAAACAGCAATAGCATATGAGGAAACAATTATTATGTCATCACATTTTGAAATCTCATGTGCGTTCATTTAAAGTGATAAATTATATTTTGTTTTGATAGGACTGGTGCTCATAATTCTTGGTCGAGAATTGTACTATTGAACATTTGTGTGCAGCTGTTCAGCAACGCGCTAGTGATCGCTGGGCTGGTCGACGACCCTCGCACCGTCGTCACCAACATGAACGCTCTCCTCGAGAAGGCCCTCGACAAGCACTGAACTCTCCCTCATTCCCACCAAAATTAAAGCCAAGCTTATATAAAGTAATTCTTTTATGAGTATCCACTGACAACCTTGGTACTTTTAGTTTTTCTTGATCAATTCGCGATTCTGTTCTGTGATATCCGACTTATTCTCGGTAAAAAAGTTGCAGCTCTAGCTTTTTCTAATATTTATCCCTCTACCACCTGACATGAGTAACCGGAGCAATATTGCCACAAGCCTACTTCCCAAAAAGGATACGTTCTAGTGAGCGCAAAATGACTTGCACTGATGGTTGCCGCCACGTACAACTTTAAAATGTTCTCTGTTGCATACAAACGTCATCAGGTTGCTACACTCAATAGTTTACGTATACTTTAAGTTGAAAGTTATGTTCCCGGAGAGTGACATACGGCGACATTGGGTTAAGAGTGCGGATATTTGTTGAAATTATCATTTGTAATTGGATCTTTTCAAAGGTTCCATTCAGGTATAACGCCGCTCCCGATTCTTTCGATCTTTATTCTTGTGTTGAACTGTTAAATTTTCGTGTAATCGTTCTTGAGCATGTCGTTGGCAAAAGGAGAAGTAAATTCCAACAGATCTTGCTGCCATAAACAAATGAATGTATTAAGAGTTTCATTTACACATTGCAGGTAATATTTGGAAGAATTTCGTGCTTCTCATCGCAAAAGTATGTTCGTTCACATGTTATCGACTTGAATTGTCAACCAAAATTTGAGGGTTGATCCTTAATCAACTTTTTCATACTTTATTCGAATAACATGTGAATACCAGAATAAGTGATGTAGATTTCTGCGTTCATACGAGCACGCGGACGCCGATAAAGAAGTTTGTAGAAATATTCAGTCTTTTTTCAGACACTGAACTCGTGTAGATATGTCATGCTGACGTTGTGCAGAAGAAGCCCAACGCGAGTGATGCTTCGTGTCAGTTTTTTATGTGGCTTTCAGAAACAAAATCCAGGATAGTCTTGGAAAGTTTACTTTCGTTGAATTTAAACGTGGCTAGGAGAGTCGGTGATACGCTGAAGTACTTACTAGAATGATAATGATCGCACCACTGTCATTATTTTCTTCGAAGTTATTTCAGAAACAATTCTTGACGTCACGGTTAACTGAAAATAATTCACACATCTTAACCGGAACTGTGTGTCAATATGAATATGTAATAAAGGGTTTTTAATCCGCAACGAATTTTTCAGTCTATAAGCCGGCTGTCTAATTAGGTGCTGATCGAATAAGTGATTTCTTACACCTTGATTTATCTTCGTAATGAATCCTAGAAACTGGGCCAGACGACAGCAGAAGCATAATGAACGATAATTATTAACTGTACGCGATAGATGTTTCTCAACGGTTCAGTCCATTCCCTCCCAAAGAAGTGTACAACGGAATAAAACTGCGGCGCTGGTGGCAATGAGCGACGCTTGGGAAGGTCATGCGAGCAGTAGGGGCGTCCAGATCAATGGCTGCCGGCCGAGCCAAAAGCTCTCCCACACCTAACCTGCCTTCCTTCCTTCTCCTCCTCGCTCTCTCTCCCTCTCTTTCGCTGTGTTCTTCTGCATCACTTCTTCCCCCTGGCCACCTTAACCTCTACGTAGCTTGCGTGACGCTCACTAGCAATAGTTTTTTCTAGATAAGTACCATTTCGAGTCTTCCTATTGTTCAATGTCAAATTCACGCTCAATATGGATTGAGGAGTCGTTCTGAAATGCTGCCCCGCCAATTTTCGGAAAACGACAGGTAGGTCGTGGTGCGTAGCTCCATGTAACGACACAAGATTATCATTTTTACAAATGATGCAGAATTTCTTTAGGCATAAATATATTTTAACCAGTTTCTTAATTTATTTGTAAATAAACGCAGAAACTCGATGCAGGTTTTCAAAGTTTAGTTGTTTTAAAATTTGGTATAATCGATCCTAATTTCAAACCTGACTCATACTCTCATAGTACTAGAAGTCCATCCACATCGAAGTATTTGTTCAATGTTTAGTTCTAAACATATTTTATTTTCTGTTAACAAAATTGTGAAATGTAACGCCACTGCACGGTTTTCAAGCCGTAATTACTTATACCCCCCAAAGAAGGGACTTCGCCAATCGCCATCTCTAGTGGTTAAATATATACGCAATTCAACCCAAAATCTTCCGCGGTGTTCACCCAAACATGTGAACACGTTGAAAGTGTTCGTCCCTGATTCGCATCAGAATGCGTAGCAAACAGTAGTTGTGCGTTACCTTGGCTCTCTATACTAAACCCCAGTTCAACTTCTCTATTTTGTTTCAATTTGTAAATGAAAAGAAAATGATGCATTAAAACTTGCTATTAGATATACAGATGCACAGTAACAAGGTTCGAAATCTCAACACCAGAGAAACATCAATTACCGTAGTCTTCTTTCCTGGCCGTGAAGAGCAGAAGACTAGCGACTTGAAGGTGAATGCGGGAAAAATGTTGGCGGTTTCGGTAATTTGTAAAACAACCACATACCTAATCAAACACTTACTCACTTAGATTGCAAAATATGTGCATTTTCTATTAATTTTTACGGGAAAATAATTTTGGAATTCGTGGAGACTTTACGTCGTTTGTTCTAGTTTTAAACAACTGCTGCCGCAAGAAAGTTGAATTTACTTTTTGGTTACCGGCCATAACTTGATCGCATTTCAGAGTGAGATTTGAAATTGAAAGTGAGACGCACAAGCCACAAGTGCAGCCCAGTCGAGTTCTTGAAACACCCACCATCTTGCGGTCGTAATCATTAAGATGAAGCCATCCTATTACCATGTTTTCGATGACAAATATTTATAGGAAGACATAATTTGTAAAGTTTCATTTTGGTCAAGAGTTGACCAGTTTAATTTTTACCAATAATTACTTCAATCTTACTCGCCGCTCTCCATTGATACAAGTGCCACGTCTGACAGCAGCCACGATTTCTATGTACCTACTATATGAGTGTGAATTTGTAATGAAATCAAGTCGCAGAACACAGGTGCAGCCAAAATTCTCTTAGTCAATTCGTGTGCAAACTTGTAGCTTTATGCATTTCTAGTAGCTATACAGCAGCAAGCAAGGAAGATTTGTTACTCTCGTTGCGAAATAAATATTAACGCACGTTCTGCTTACGTCAGCCTTATATTTTTAGGGTCGCCTGCCGAAGACCACCACTGCCCTGGGTGCACAAAATTGGTGGTGCATGGCTGCGCTCCCATATTTTTACACGTTTTCCTTGTTTTATTTGGATGGCTAATTTTTCTATCCTTCGTCTTCATAATGAATGCCGTAGTGAAAACTTTAACTCATTATTCGTAAATTAGATTTGGTACGCTGAATTTGTCTCGCTATTCACAGTCTGTTATTCTTATTTAATACTGCAACTTTGCCATGACATCATTTCTGCTAACTTGACTGTTGTTTCCTGTATCTGCTGGCGACATTATTTCTTGGCTCAGACATATATTTGCGTGCATTCCTGGGGAGGTTTAAGTGCAGTATGTTTATGTGGACTTGCTACCACCGTTCTCCAACACAAACTATGTATTTTATAAGGTAAATTTCACATTAAGACTCTGAAACGGTTTAAATCCCTGTAAAAATTTCTAGTTGTCCATTACCAGAAACATATTTCCCACTATCATTAAATAGTGTGTTTTGAAATTTGGCGAGTTAATTGTCTTCTCGACTTACTGGCCGCATTTGTGTCATTTACAGTTGACAAAACATTAAATTCCTATAATCAATCTTAATACATACCAGGTATATGCTAAATTTGCTAAATTTCGTTAATCTTCTATTAGCCATTAATTTCCATGGATAAAACCTCTGGAATACCTAGTGGAAATTGGCGGCTATCGAAAAACGACATAGTTCCTTGGGTAAGGTAAAGATTAGCTAATAAAATCTGAAAAATTGCGCAAGTAATGTTTTACTATATGAGAAATTGTGAACTATTCGCACTTAAATCCACACAATTGAAAAGGCACCCAAACGTGTCCAGCCAAAAACGAGCATCAATCAAAACTTAATAGTCGTCGATCGTTCGTAAATTGCTAAATAACAGTAATAACCATACAATAATAGAAAGAAATTCATCCTGTTATGGTATATTTCTATGAAAAAAATTTGAACTATTGTGATCTTACCGCAACCCTAAACTTCATTTCCATCCTTAGGCAAATAGTTTCTGCTGTTGCGTGAGGCTAATTGCAGTGCTAACCAGCTTCATATTGACCTCAGGGAACTGCTGAGCCGTAATTTATGAGTAACTTACATTGAACTACTCGCAGTTATCAGTGAAAATGATTGCTCATATTTACACCAGTTTTATAAGTTATCTACTGACAAACATATCAACTTGATCAACAAACTGATTTGTGAAAATTGAGTCAAGCGGCCGACCAGTCACGTGGAGGTCGTCAAGCGCGAGGCGTTGAAGTCGCTTCAGTAATGGCGCCTCGTGGACGGCAGCCGCGATATTTGGGATGACATTACAGGTGGCCAGAGGTGGTCATCTTTCTTTCTTTCTTTATTCACGCAGGAGCATACAAAAAATTTCATAACAAGAAAATATCGAAAATTTTGAAAAAAAAATACAAAATGCTTCCATGTGAATACCCATATAAGCTAAAAAGCTTCACAGGCGAATGCCCACATTGTCGTGAAGTATTTAATATCAGGCGAATGTGTCACGCCACTCTCTGGTATACAAATGAGCCTGCCTGCTGATGAACTTCTAAGTTACAATTCTGTTTACAGGTTTTGTTTTCAGTCTCAGCAAGCATCAATTCGTCATAAAATTTGCAATGACTTTTATTTCTTGGCGGCTCACCATTCATTTCTCTTGCTCAAAAATTTATGATAAAATTTTATCCATGTAGTTTGGCTAAAATTATTCACATTATTTCTCAGAATATTTCAAGACTTTCAGATTGAAATCCTGAGTCTGGTCCCACATATTTCCTTCAATAAAATAGATTATTAATTGACAAAAAGGGATGTTATTAAATTCTGTTAAATCAATGTTTTGTTTATCAATTTTATATGTTTAAATAATGTTTTGAATACTTTTATATGTTTTGAATAATTTTTAGACCTATTGGAATATTTTTTCGAGATATCTTGGTTGGCCACGTACTCTACGTTTTTTTGCTTTGTTGCAATAATAAATTGAAATGAACATAAATTGAGTGCGACGTTATCAGAC